GTATGTGGAGAAAATAGTAGCACAATATCTCTAGAATAAAATATTGGAATAGAATATAATAATAATAGTTTAATTTCCCTCGCTTTGGAATTCACTTTGTGCTTATCACTTGAAAAGTCCTAAATAAATAAAATGATTATTTTTTCATCAGATGATGCTCGGCTTGTCAGATTTTGCCTGCTAGTGGTTTTTGTAGTTACAACCACACACAGACTACTACAGATTAAGGAAAGCAGATGTCTTCTTCCACCCCAAAGGGCAACATTGGCTGACATCAGCATGTCGTCTTTAAGCTCTCTCTCTCAAGGAGAGCTAATTTCTGGAGCTGCAACACATATTTTAGATTTTCAACCCACATGAGTCTAACAGGCATGTTGAGCGTGTATCACTTTCAGGCAGCAACCACATGCCTCTGCAGCTGCTGCCAGTTTGCTCAAATCTACTGTTGGATCATTTGTCGCAACACTGGTTGTCTTGCAGTAGGTGGAACTGAGCAACGTGCAGCCATTTCTTTTGCTTCATATTGTTATTGCAGTGTCATAGTCATGCCACTGTTTATCTGCCATTATAGACCACATATGTTCCAATACCGAGGAGTTATTTGTACTCTATCACTCAGCAGTCTGTGATTACAGAAAACAATCCAGCTCCTATTCAGTTGTAACCGAGCAAAACTATTAAATGCTGCATAAAAACTCTACAACTCAAAATCTCTGCTGTCACATAAGCCTTTGAAGTTGGAATGCTGTTACCCTCTAATCTGTTTTTGCTCACAGTTTTTCAGCTGTTTGCTTCTCTCGGATATTGTAATAAATTATCCATTAACTAGCATATTAATCAAACCAAATAAAAAAGCATCTGGTACCTTACACACACAAACTACAGAACACACACACATGCACGTGCAGAGTGAGCATTGAGGCCACATGAATGTTTTCCTCTTCTCCATAAAATCATAAGACACTTGGCTCCTTCTCTTATCCAGTCTGTGCAGACAAATGTCTGTAGCTACTTGGCATAAAAGCTGCCAAAACTGTGAGAGATGCCAAACTATACTAAGAGGCAACATCAACGCCTGGAAACACAGTTTTAGGCCTTGGCCTACATCTGTTTCACATTGACTCTCAGAATGGTGAAAACTTCACTTTTACAGAATACAAGAGTAGATATTTTGTAAATAATCCAGTAATAATATCCAGAGAAAATAATAATAAGATTCCACTTCTTTTTGTCAGGAAAGTTGATGAACTTCTTATTGCATTTTATTTTATATCTTTTTTACTGGACCATATATTAATCCCAGTGAGAGGGCAGTATATAGCATTTTGTCACATACAACTGGATACACATGCCACAGTAAAAAAGAAAACTAAAAAACAGAGCATTTTAAAGAATGCTTTTAAAAATAACTCACTGGGAGAGCCTCATGCCCCCTGATTCCATAATGTTTCTTTCAAGCAATATTTGTTGAACATTTCTACTTTATTGGATAATTTATTTTGAAAAGAGAGAAGGGACGCAACAAGCAACCTAGCTAACAAGCCAGATTACAACCAAGATGAGGCAGTTAGATGTTTATGCCTTAGGCAACAGAGCGACCAGCACAGTCCAGAAGTTACCCTTTTAGAAGTTTTTTTTTCTACCCCAAACCTTCCGGTCTGTGCATGCTACTGGTTGGCAAACTCACCTTCTCCCTCTCTGTTCACCTTTCATATGTGTAGCAGGTGTTATTAGATGCTTGATTATAGACAACAGCAGTCAAGAGGGAAACCATCTGTTTCACAGCTTGCTGGTGGTCCGTTTAACCTGGCTGTCTTCTCTTAGAACTAGACTCCCTGAACAGAGCTTTTCTTAAAGGGGACATTTGCACTAAACTCAACAGGCCTGCAAATCAGGTATCTGATTTGGGTATCATGTCTGTTTTAAACACAGCCTAGTCTGCTTATGCGTGTGCAGTGTTGGTTACTGTATTTACCTATGCTGTCTTTAAGGTGCCAGGGGAGCCTGATTGCAGTGCCCAGCCAGATCTGGAACACCTGTACTCCACAGGATATAAAAGTCTCAGCTTCCAACACAGATCTCTCTCCCCTGGCAGTACCTGCAACCCATTTTGCTTTGCTTAGCTCTCTGTTTTATTTTTTACTTCACAACAGATCACACTATACTACACACACATCCACATTTGCACTACTGATGTTGCTGACCTCACATCCAAATTTACAAGTACTAGTAAAATATTACTACTAACACTTTACTACAATAAGTAACTTAACTCGGTTTACATTTGCATATCCATGTTTCCATGTCTATCAACTAAAGAGTAAGTAGCGGCAAATCTGATAGTATGAATAAATATTTATATTTACTTATTTTGGCTAGTGTACAGTAATCTTCCATTCTCCCATTCTTCTTCATGGAACTTTTAGCGCAAAGTTCAAACAACATAATTGTGTTTGCTTAAGGGGCTTTAACACTGACAACATGACAAGGTAACGTACGTGCAAGTTTGATAAACATTCAAACTGGACCTTTGTATTTTATATTCTTTACCTGAACTATGCAGGGACAAACCCAAATTAATGCAGCAGTTGTTTTGTCGTACTACCTGGTCTGTTTGACAGTGGCCTAACGACACATTCCCTTAAGCAACATGCTCCAGAGAAAATAATTGATTTGAAACCAGAACGTATTAGTTTTCTTCCAGAAGTAAGAAAATCTCTTTCAAGCTCACTATCACTTGTAAAAATATGTTGTATAGTGTGGTTTACTCCCTTTGTCTCAACAAGGAGAGTCATTTTTCAAACTAAATACTATTATAGTTTATTCAGTGTCTGCTGTCTTTCCCACAAGCCAAAGTTTATCAGGTTAAACATCATCAGCTCAACAGAACAGACCAGTCAAGTGGTGAATCTAGTAGAATGAACAAGGAGGACTGAAGGTGTGGATGTTTATTGGACAACAGAGATTAACAGTTGGAAATATGGCATTATAAGATTCTAAGATTATTCAGTGTGAAGGTTTCAAATATCAATAAGAAGTGCGGAGATACTATTTTATCATATTTATAACACATTTCAGTTTTTTAGAAAGACAGATTTGAAGATCCAGTGTGTAACATTTAGGAGGATCTATTTTAAGAAATGGAATATAATATTTATAGGTATGGTTTTATGTGTGTATAATCACCTGAATATAGGAATCATTGTGTTACCTTAAAATGAGCTGTTTTCATCTGGCTGCCGGCCGCCTTCCATGGAGTCCGCCAACCAAACGCTAGCTCTCACGAGTTTCGTGGTCACTGTAGTTTCTCCTACACACTTCACAGTCCATTTTAATTCCCAGGTTGTCAAATACGGCCGCAATCTGTGTTCAGTTAGTTATCTGCAATCTGCAACTTCACGGCTAGATACCACTAAATCCTACACACTGGTCCTTTAGGAAACCCTTAATTAGAGATTGTATTGAAAGGTTAGTGGATACGTGACAGCTCTTGGTGTGATGACTTTGTGTACACCCCTGTACAGTATATTGGTATTTAATGAACTTTAAGTGGACTTGCTGTCTTATATTTCAGATTTTCTTGTTTACCTGTTTCTGGTAGCAATACGTTCACACAAATGCAGGCTCTTGTGTTGTTTTGTTGTATCTGATTGAAAAAGTCTACGGCAGGCTCTGTGGTGCTGAAACTGTTGTTGTGCATTTATCTGCCACAGGAACCTCCAACATCCAAGACTTGACTATCGACCGTTGAACAGCAGTCTTTTTTAGTCCTTGAAGCAAATGACAATACTTTTTGATTTCCAGGATTTGTATTTTGTGAATGCAGTGTAGTTCTGCAGCAGATTGTCAAGTTTTAGATGACCAGTGCTTCACACAAGCATATGAATGCACCACACACAGCCTCACAGGCACATATGGGCAGCCTGGCTTCTTTATTTTTTCCTTTCTTTCATGCTTGTCGGATTATACTCACAATCACTGGGACTTGCCTTCTTTGGATACTGAGCTGAATCCTAGTAGGATGTACTAACACTGTCCCACAGAAATTAAATAAATGTGTGATTCACTGCTTGCGAAAATACTTCCATCTCCCACATATACTTTACATACTATAAACTGCCTGGGAATTAATGAGATTACTGCTCAGTTTCTGAATGTGATCCGGCATCATTTCATTGAGGCTGAGTGTGTCAGCTCCTGAATAAATTGATCATTTAGCGAATGAATTAATGATCCCTTTGTTGGAATAGACATTCTAGCATTTAAGACTGACCATACATACCAATAAGTGTCTGAATGAAGCCTGCACCAATTGCTTCACAACATTTTGCTGGGCAGCCATAAAGATCTTTGTGAATGAAATGGAGCAATCCCAAAGGCAATTGTGACTCTGAGCCATTTTGTGCTATTAGGGCAGTGGAGATGGTATAATGAAAAGCAGTCTCTTCACTGAATTGTTGTAATATTTTACACGAATCACGATTGTTTTGCAGTGGAGATTCAGTTTAATTGATTCAATATTAAATACATTTTGAAATGCCAGTGAGGGTAGTGTAGGCTATTAGACTTATTTTTTTGACTGTGACAATGTTCTCCAAGGTTCTGCAAGGTTCTTTGTTCATCATATTGAGTCAGCGAAGAGAGCAGGAATAGGCTATTGTGCTATTGGTTAGGAAATTCTCAAATTTGTCTGCATGAATCAAATGATTCTGTCAGACAGATGGAGTGATTCAGATTAGATAAAAGAACCCAACTTTCCATGTATAATACAGAAAGATCACTTCCTTTTCGCCTTAGAGAGATCCACTTCCCTCCTCTGACCTCATAAAATAAGCTACAGTGCATTTATTCACTGCATTTCTTCTCAGTTCAGCATTCTGGGAGCTGCTTAGTAATCCTTTTTGTTTGAATATTTCTATACAAGTGTTCATGTGCAAATGGGACAAAGACGGCAAAATGGTGACAACGTGTCTGTGAATAATACATTCTATGAAATCTAATGGAAAAAAAGAATTGCAATTTTTATTTGTATTCATGTACAGTATGAACTACAATCTCAGGTATCAATAATTGAACATCATCCTCAGAGAAATTAGTTGGACTCCTTACAAGCACGTTCTCTTGTTTTTTTTTTCTTGTTTTTGTTTTGCTTTTTTGTCTTTTTTTAACAATTGAAGCACATGTAAAATTATGATCTGAATATTTTTTTTTTTTGCATTATGTTTTTGAAAATATTTTTTTGTAGAAATTTAACCATTTGATGATCATTCTCTCCAAAAATGAGAGAGAATATTCCCACATACAGTAACCCTCCCCCTACATAGACAGTTGGCAGAATAACACACAAGAATTTGATCACCTTGGCTTAGGATTTTGCACAAAAATCAAGCTCACTCTGCTGGTATTTCAAGTCCAATATTCTGCAGCTCAGTCTTAATTTCATTCTGGCATTCAAATATCTCTCCACATAACAGCATCCTGCTCATGTAAATACCAATACAGAGATATTCCATTCATTCTGAATAACTCACAACCCTCATCCCCAAATATATATATAAAAAATCTCAACCTTTTTTTTTTCACTGTAGCCAGCATCAACATTGAATCATTAAGCCACCAAAAGCATTGAAAAGGAATTGAGCATTGAAAAAGAAAACAGTGGAAAGGGAAAGAATGGTTTACTCATTAACGCTACCATTAACTGTACTATTCTCGTCATTCATAACACTCAATGAAAGGCTGACAAGAATAGGTTCCTGGTTCGATTCATCCTGCTCCATTTATAGTTTCATCTGTCTCTACTTCACCAGACCTTACCAGATGAATAATACATTTATATTTTGCTTCCACCATCTTTGTTCATCGTTCCACCAATATTGTACAAGATGAAAAAAATAAATTTAGGAGACTGATCAAAGGTGTATGACTTTGTGCGTGACAGTACTTTATTATGCTCATACTATAAGCTGTGGTAGCCGTCTTCAAAGAGATGAAAATCTATAAGGCGAGTAGAACTGCTGGACAGTTAAATCGTACATTTTTCACATAAAGCGGTGATTTGAATAACTGAAGCGATGTGATGCTCTGCAAATGTAACGTCATGTGCTGGTCAAATCCCATCCAAACCATTAGTATTAGTAATATACATTCCATTATGCCAGTTTTGTCGATAATCAGTCGCATTTTTTGAATCGCCACTGGGAAATTAAAATATGCTTGTTGCACAGAGACCAAAGTGAAAGGCATATCTACCTCTTCTTACTTTCTGCACAAGGTCACTGTTTCCATGGCGACAGTCTGATGGCTAGTTTTGCCTCCTTATTCCTTATCTTTTTTTCACTCCTCTCCCTTCATATCTGCAATATCTCTGTTTGAAGACCCTTCATGACCGTTGTGGAGTCTGGCTCCCCCCTCCCCGCCCACTATTCTTCACTTTTCATCCCTACCTCCCCCTTCCTTAAGCCTTCCTCTTTGAAAGACTAAATGAAAAAGCAAAGCGTAAACAGACTACAGGAGAGACAATTTTTTGATGGTCTATAAATGATGCAACATCAAAGTGTGTGTGTTTTTCTCTGACAAAAATGAGACTGAGCAGGGGTCGCTTCAATATCAAAGGCCTCTATCCCCTGTTAGATGTTGGGCACACAGAGAGTGGAAAAGTCTCACGCTGTTTTGTTATCAGCTTTTCTCTGTTAGTCTGCAAATGAACTGCTGATACAGATTAATGAGCTATAACCCATGTCCCCTTATTTTGTTGCAGGTTCCTAGCTGCTTCACTGACTATGTTAGCCCTGTCTGTGTTTGTCTGACAGGGTCACACTACATTACAAAGCAGCCTCATTTGCCTCTTTATCTGTATAACAGATGGACTATCAGCGCCCAAGCTCGTGTGACCCTGGGGTGATGGCAAGGTAACGCGACACTGAGTGGACGTAGATCATTACTAGGTTAACAGGGAGGCTACACACCGCAGCCTTATGCTCCCCTTCATTTTCCCAAGCAATATTCTGCCGTCGTGCGGCACATGCCGGCGGATAAAGCGAGACAAATGAGACATGGCGAGGGGTGAGGAACGTGCCTGAGCTAAGTGACAGAGAGACAATCAAAGAAGGACACGGTGGAAAGGAGAGTCGGGAGAGAGCAGAGAGAGGATAGACAGGCAAGATGGATAATTTAGAGATAGAAGAGAGGAGGAGTCGAAGGAAAGAAGTAGTAAAGGTAGAAGTGTAAAGAAAAGGTAGGAAGAGGAGTGGGAGCAAGAACTTAACCTTAATTAAAGTGAAGGATGTATGGCTGTTGTTTAGGAGCCACAGGGGAAATGCACATTTACTCATTTGGCTGTTTTGCTCCTCAGGCATGCTGGCTTCACAATGATATCATCCAGAGCTGTGTCATTAAAAGATCTCATTTCTGGTTGAGTGACAGCTAGAATATGATGACAATGAAAATACACCCATTTTATGTTTTGGTATGCTAAACAACTAGCAAATAAATGCTTATGAATACTAGTAACGCCCTTCAACAAAAAGTGTTATTATCAGGTAAAATCAAAGAATTAAATTAATGGCATTGCATTCTTTTTTAGTGAAAAGCCAATTTATAAAGTGGTTTCACATGAGATTAATTTTAGACATTCTATATTCACTTTTAGTAAACCATTCTTTCCCTTGTGCAGTATTACACAGAGAGATAGAGAAATAAAATGAGCTAAAAAGCTATCACAAATTGTTTTTCTTCATTTAGCCACTAGACATACTTTTAATAAATAATCTTTGTTTTTGTAAAGACACTTGTTAAAGTATCATATGTCGTCCCTTTGCCAAATGCTGATTTATCGCCATTATCGACATCAACTCTGTCAAGTCAATGTCATTTTGATTTCTTTTATCTTCATGTTTTGGTCCATAGTACTCCAAGTATGAAACTGCTGATACTGGATATTTAGTCAGATTCAAGATCAGATTTGGGTCTCTTGTACATTGTCTTTTGAGCAGGCTTGAATCAGTAAAGGTTCCTGTGTAGCTGAGCTGTGTATGGTACTGAGCATAGGAGGGTGGTGGTAAGTGCTCTTGTAGGTGTTGTAGTGGTTGTAGTGCTCCAGAGGGGGAAGCGATAGGTGTCTCTCCATGGCAGCAACTCCTGCAAGCTCTTCTTCGACTGTAATGACCTCCATGGAGGAGGCAGGGCCATCAGGATCCTGCTGGTTATGCTGCTTCCTCATCTTGTAGAAAATAACCAGCAGAACAGCAGCCATAAGCGTGATGGCCACAAAGCAGCCAATGATAATCTTGGTGGTTTTCATTACCTCATCCAGGCCATTGATGTCTCCCTCTCCATCCAGATCAAGAACTGGAATGGTGTAAGTCCGCTCTGTGGTCCTTGTTAAAACAGGAGTACCTTTTGTAGTTGAGGATGACACCCAGCCAAATGGCGGAAGTGGCGTTTGGCTATCATCCCCCGGGGTCTCAATGGTCTCCACGGTGACTGTGGTAAAATAGGTCACCCCGCTGTTTTCCACAGAAGTGACATTAAGCACAGCAGAGGCAGAAATGTTGCCTGCTGTGTTGCTAACCATACAGGTGTAAGTCCCAGTGTCCTGCATTGTAACGGTAGTAAAGTTCAGTGTCCCATCATTGAGTACAGACAAACGCACCTTATAAGCCCCATGTGTCACCAACGAGCCATTTGGTGTAAGCCAGCTGATGGATGTCAACGAGCTTGTACGACATTTAAGCTCTGCACCCATGCCTTCTGTCACATTCAAGTCACTGGGTGGCTCCACAATGACAGGAACATCACACTGGAAGTAGCTGTGGTCTAATTCCCCGATGTAGCGACCTTTAAAGACTGTAGGAGTATGGCAACGGGCGCAGCAGCTGGTATTGGCAGGTACTGCCTCTTTCAGCCACCAGCTGAGCCACAAGATATCACAGTTGCAGTTCCAAGGATTGTGATGGAGGTGGACCCGCTCCAGACGATGCAACGGTGTGAAGAGGTCATGTGGTAGAAAGGTAAGGTTGTTGTGAGCCAGGTTGAGCTCCACCAGTGACTGAAGGTCATCAAAGGAATTCCTCTCAATAGTTTGGATCTGGGCATGCATCATCCACAGCTTCTGGAGGTTCACTAATCCTGTAAATGAGCTGGGCTTAATAACAGAGATCTGGTTTCCTGACATTTCTAGCTCTTCAAGCCTGATCAAAGGTAAGATGTTGGGAATCTCCTTGAGGTTGCACATTCCCAGATTCAGGTAGCGCAGGTTGCTCAAGTCCTTAAAGGCTCCATCAGAAATGTAGGAGAGACGTTTGAGCTCACCTAGATCCAGCCTTCGAAGCGAGGGGACCCGGTTGAAGGCATAAGATGGTATACTTTCGATGGGGTTGTTCCGTAGCCACAATTCCTTTAGCTTGGACAAATACTCAAATGCTCCATTGGGGATTGTCGTGAGCCGATTATCAAAGAGCTCCAAGGTGTTGAGACTGGCCAGCCCATTGAACGCCCCAATTTCAATGCTGCGGATGTGGTTCTTACTGAGCTGCAGGATCTCCAGATGGCGCAGATGTTTGAAACTGTCCACCTTGATGACCTGAATGAGGTTGTCCTGGAGGTTCAGGTAGCGAGTGTTGGTGGAAATGCCATCTGGGACGTCCCGTAGACTGCGGCGGGTGCATATAACTTTGCTGAACTGGTTACTGCATGAACAGACAGAAGGACAGGTCTGAGCACGAACAAGCCCAGCCACCACCAGGATCTGAAGGGCCAAAAGCAGCACAAAGAGGGGGTTGGACAGCGCCCCCTTCAGCCTACGACCTCTCATTGTCTGGCGCTGGAGGGAGGAGATCATTGTGTTCAGCATTCATAGTTCATCTGCTGTTTGTGTTCTCTGCAACAAGAAGAAAAAGAAAGAACAATATTTACTAACCACATAAAATAGTGAGGAGTACATTGTTGATGTTGCTGTAGTGAGTTATAGGTAACAGTGGCTCGATACAAGATCTTTTTTCACGCTGAACTGATCAGTTGATCCACAGAAAAATAACTGACAAAAAAAAACAAGACAAAAAATGATTTGGTAGTCTCAGTACTTGTAGACCAAACAATTCATCAAAACATTATCAACAGATAAATTGAGTAATAAATAATAATTACTTACAGCCCTAATCTATTTATATAGTACAATGTGCATAGAATGATGAAAGAACAAGAGCAAGATGAATTAACAACTTCAATTAATTCACAACACTGCCCATCTGTGGAATATAACAAGCTTTTTGTTAGCTCCCTAACCCTGGATTGTCCCAGATTTCCAGACTTCACAAAAGCTGATGCATCGACACTGGAGACTGAAAATGACAAATGAGTAGGACCATTCCGGTAGGACCTGGGAATTTCTTGTAAGCCCCTTTACTCATTGAAATCCTGAGCTTGGAATTATGTAATGTACAAAGCCTTATAGTCATGAAAGTCTTAAAGGAAATAGTGCAATATGTTGATGTCATTGGGACTCATTCTTCACAAGACAGTACAAGTCACTGACACCAAGCATTAAACTCAATGAATGTGGTCTTGAAACGTCACAAAGACATAATGCATGCAAATGAGAAATGCATGCTGAAAAAAACAAAGCAAAAAGCAATATAACCTTTGAAATGGCATACACTGGCAAACAAAGACAATATAACACTATTCTTGCCTGAAATTGTGCTATGGCTTATATCTCGATGTAAAACACAACAATATATTAACAAAGTCACTGATAAAGGTTATCAAGTGAGGGTTATTTTTCACTATCTCGACTTTTTACTAAGATTTTCTATAGCCTGTTTATTGGCTTTGAACATTTTTATCTGTGATTCATTTCCTGGGATTTCAAAAACAGCATTTTCAATGATTCATGATTAATGCTTATTCAAAACAGTATTGTAGTGGTGTTTACTTTTCATTGCAATCCAATTTATTGTCACACCAAAAACCCATACAAATAGTGTGATTCAAGAGTGTGAAGAGGTCTAGTATTGTCCCTGCATAATTATAGCAGAATTTATTATCTCCCAAACCAAGTGACTAACAAGAAACTCGTTACTCCGTATCTTAGATTAGATTAAATTAGATTAGATTAGTTCATTCAGCCAAAGTGTCTAGGGATGTGAGTGTTCTCAAGATAAAAATAGACATTCATACACATACAACATAGCCTGTACCTCCCACTTCCACACAGTAGTGTTGATGTGTTCCTATCACCCCTTATTGTCTACTGCCCACAAAGATGGTAACCTACAAATAAATCGATACATATAATACATGCTGGGAAATTGTAAAGTGTGACAGTATTGTGTCAAGCTGTGTTTTTAGTGATGCAGACACTATTCTTCAGTGCAGTTAATGCCTTTGCCAAGAGCAAAGCACTCTTGCCTAGTGCAAAAAATTAGCCTTCCCTACTATGTCCTTAGATTTAAGTATTGTTATTAAGCATTTTTAACTAGTCCCTTTCCGTCTCTTATAACTCAAGTTATCTATTAATCGTTCCTCTCAGTCAACTCATGAGCAAGAAGAAACAAGTATACTGTATTATGACAGGTGTTTTCTAAACTGTAAAAATTGTTAACTGAGGTGGAAATGTTCTCCAGTGAGGATGAGTGGCTGACTTAATCAGTAGAAATGAGTCTACATGTGGCTTGTTTTTGCACCAGCCATGCTGCCACCCCAGCCGTGATGAAGAAAGGCTGCGGAGAGATGAGCCTCTGCTGGGGAATCAGATCGAATGAGGCATCCCACTGGCAAGAGCTCATTTTATCTGGCTGGAATTACAACAACCCTGCGCTACAACCTAAGAGAAGAAAATGTCAGACATGACAAACACACTAATAGAGATTATCAGCTGTCAATAAAACATCTCAGTTTGCATTTCCACTGGAATGCAAAATGAAAAATTCATAATTCAGCAACAAGCATGTTGATGTACCACTCATAGAGCCAAAACTTTGGTCACATGCACTCTTCATAAAACATTTATTTGAATGCATTTTATCATCACAGATAGCCTCATTACATAAAGGGATGGGACATATATTGCAGAAAAAAATAGCTTTAGGAATCCTTCCTCCCTTTGTTGGTGCAACACTGTGTGGATTAATTCCATCTAGGCACGCTCAACATGTATTCATAGCCACTGAAAGCAATAGCTGCTTACATCTAAAATCCTGCCAGCAACATAAAAACACACCCACCCTTACTTTTCTGCTTCTGCACCAGCAGGCACTGGAATTATGTTCGACACCACTGAGATTTGCCAAATTCATTTGTAATAATGAGTTTGTTGGAAAATTTAAGGTAATATATAGCAAGGACACTACAATATAACGCAGAGTATTGCAGAGCACTTACATTACAATGTCTGCTGATTAGAGACTTGGAATTGTACTTCAACTAACAGAATGTGTTAGTTTGGACATTCCCACACACAAGCTTGGCAGTCTACGATGCAAAGACCTAAATAACCATAGCGTCTACCAATCAAAAGGTTAAGTAACACCTCCAAAAAAAGAATGTCTGTTTCATAGTCTCATGGTATGAATATGAGAAGAAATATGTTAACACTGCTCCACACAACTCAAATGAAGGAAGATAATACATCAATGAGGATGAAATTTACAAGAAATGTTGCATTATTGAACATTTTGCTTTGCAGTCATATTCTGATTCAGATTTTCTTCTTAGCTTGTTGGCATATTTAGCATTTCCCCTCAGAGTTCTAAGGGAGGATTTGCACTGTTTTATGTAGAATAGGATTATTCCAACAAAGTGACAACAAAATAAACATCTCAATTTGCTCTTCCACTATCAGACAAAAAAGTCACATGTTCAGCATTAAGCACGTCAATCTGTTGTGTGACACACAATTCTAACACTGTTATTATCACTTAACACCTGACGTCATTAACGTTCTGTTACCTAATATGCCCAATCAGGAGTTTTTCATGTTCCTAAATGTAATAATATAATAACTAAAAATAATATTTGTGGGCAGAAAAAAACAACAAAACAAAAGTAACAGTACAGACAATACAGTAACAGTATTAGACATTACTGGTCACAGCCATTTGCAGTTGATACACTGAGTGTGAAAAAGATAGAGTGGGTAAAATATGAAGTGATATGAAATCTGGCAAGTATCTCATCATAATGTAGAAAAAAGCCTGTGGCCACTAAGAGAGCTGTCTGCTGAACTGAATGTCATCTTGCTAATTCATTCAATGCATTACTGATTCATTACATTTGCATACGTTTTTTGCATGTCTTGTGTTTAACCTTATTTGTGCCGATGTTGTAACCTCACTGGCCATCTGTCTCACAAGACCTGTGTAGACAAACTGTGCCTTAGCGATACAGATGGATACCAGGTTTATTGTGTCATTGTTTAAAATGATGACAAATCTTCAGTGCTAATGAATATATTAGCATATACTACATTATATACAGTAAATAAGGAACTAAGCCTACTACATCCTTTAACATACAGCAAGACTGTCTGTTAAAGCATAAGAAATTTTAAATTTTTGTTACTGTGAACTTATCCCAGCAAAAGACCAAAACCATCACTGAGTTAGTCCATGTATTGTCAGACTTTCCTACTGTCTGTGACACTAAAGGCATTTTGTTACTATTGAACAAGTAAATCTTACAAAAACAGGTCATAAATGTACAGTTCCCTTTTTATAAAAAAAAGGCTCAGTACGATCCCGAACAGCTGGGAAATGTAATTAACTCAAACAGGATTAAATAGGGCATTTGTGCATTTTTTTTCCCCCTTTACATTTAGTGCACTTGTGAGTACAAAGAACTGACTCAAAATAAAGTAGCCATTGTAATGAAGAAACATGTAAACCAGTGTCTCATTCATGTTTTTTAAGTTTTTGGACAATAGTGGAGCTCTTGTTTCAAATATGTTTCAAAACATGACCTTGAGCTCTAATGGTAATTTTTCATGATGTTCATGTTATAGACAAATTAGTATTGATTAATTTAGAAAACAATTGGTAGATTAAGTAATAAATAAAAATGTCATAAGAGACGCAGAAGATTTAACTAACAAGTGTTTCATTCTTCACTTAAGTGAACAACTGTTTAGAACTGTTGATGGACCTTAATGTTTCTTTATCCATGACAAATTTATACAGAATAATTATATGATTAAGTACAGACAGTAATAACAAGGTCAATAAAATATGACAGCAGGATTGCTGAAAGTTTGTGCCGTGGTTTCTGCAATTGTGTGCAGCTTTGTTGTTCGTTGTTGTGCTGTTCAGTTATTACAGCATTAGTAGCTGCTACATGTATGTAAACATCTGAACAATTATTACTTGATTTGCTAAGTGGGTAATTTGATTTCATGACTATGGCCATCTGTTTGTGTTGCTCTGTGGTGTTAAAGTGAAGACAAGACTTCCAACACTTTGAAAAAAATAAAAGATAAACCTCTTTCTTGCAGGGTGTTTGCATGTTTCATGCTTGTTTGCATTTGTCTCAGGGGATATTGGATGTGGCGGTTTGCAAATCTTTCGCTGGGGCCTTGATAACTAGAGGCCACCACTGCTGCTGTCTCATTCTGACATGCAGACTGAGAGTGCTTCACCCACCTCAGCTCCACCTGAAAAAAAATGAAAAAAACGCAATTCCCCTCCCCCATCTTGCCCTCAGTACGCAGAGTGCTGGTGTTAGGGAAATAAATCCAGGAGGCTGTTGGGTGCTGCTGACTTATCAGCCAAAGTCTATTCTTTTAACAGCAAAAGAAATGATGGCCCTTTCGTTGACCGGATGAGTCTCAGAACAGCAAAAATAAAGTGTATTTCCTTGAACATTTTTCACTCTCTTGGGATGGTGTTA